AGGGCTGTTCAGCAGTTAGCCCTGACCTCTGAGCTTCCTGTAGTTCGGGGTCAAGCGGAGAGGTGCCCTCTCCACTATAGATCAATATGATGCTGCAAATAACAGTAAGCCACAAAATACTTTTTCCATATGCTGTTTCGTCACTCATGACATCGGTTTCAAATGTAGCATCTTTGCCAAGACGGAGAGCTGGCAGCTCCTGCCGATTAGCAGCATGGAGTCTGTGTAGCATTAAACATGCCTGGATGGACTAAGCTGAGGCTCGTGTGCCAGATACCACATACAGACTGTAAGGACCTTTAATGGCCTCTTCAGCATCCATCATAAAAAGACAGGGAGGGGGTCAAAGAGGGGATTCTTCAAGTGGCTTCAAACAGCTTGTTTGCTAATCTGCCAGTATTAATATCTTTAATTTCTTTATTTAGAGCTCAAATAAAGAAAAGAAACCTTCCCTCCTGCCTGGTCGGTATCCGGTCAGTCGTAACCTGGCATTTTAATGGTCAGCAAAAGCATGCCAGAGTCCCCATGGGTGCTAACGTAGGTGAGGAGGTGTCTAAAGAGGACTGGGCATATACACCTGCCAAGAGATTATCAGATCATCTGAAGCATTTTGCAGATTCATAGAGAGGTGAGAAAAATAGAACACAGTGAGTACAACCTCCTGTGCAATCTGTCACTACTCAGGAAAATGCTCAGAATTGGATTAAGTCTTTGGGAAAATTTAAATGGGAGATGGATTTACATGAGCACTGCTCATCAGATTGGGATCAGAAAAAGTGGCCCAATCAGAATTTAACAGTTGATCCAAATGGACCATGAACAGTAAAAACAGAGATGCTGCTGGTGTTTTCCAACCATGTAAGCACTCATCCCATGTGCTGTAATGTGTTGGCAGACATGCTGGTATTCTTGTCTCTTATGTCTTGAAATCATAAGAATTCTATTGGACATCTAAAACAAGACATTTCATGATGAACAAGATTACAACAAAAGCTACTTATGCACACAACAGGCGCTCGACATCCACCTCCAGACCTCCATTGCCATACTATCACACTACTAAGGTTATGATCCACACCTCAAGCAGAGAATTCCTGATCAGGTAATGCAAACCATAAAATTCTGATAGGTGAACAGTTGCCTTTGATTCAGAGCCCGAGGTGAGAAGGCATTGGCTCAACAACCTCATGTACTTTGTGCTGCTTCTTCACAAAAGTGATCCCCACGCAGGCAAGACTGAAAAATGTCAGTTCAAATAAACTTGTGAAAACTCTGAGCAGGTGATTTACTGGAAGAAACATCGGGAAAAAGACGAGGATATCCATAACATAGGTCCGTACGCTGAAAAAACACTAAACATATACTTTTCATTTTACATATCCAGCTGAGGTTACCCCCCAAGAAGTAATGAATACTTAAATGTTCCTCTTAAGTGCAGCTCATGATATTTTACTCTCTTAAGTATGAGTTGATCCAGCTCCAGCAAACTCTACAAAAGAATCAATTTCCACTTTAAACGAAACCTTCAGCTGTCAAAGTTTTGTCTGTTTTCTCAGCTAACAGCCTTCTGTTCATCTCGAATAGCCTCAAAAAACCTTTCAACCAATTATCTTTATTTCTTTTGTGATATCCTTTATTTTCCAGTTTTGAGTTGAAACGTCTCATTTTAATTAAACTTGAATGGTTTAATATTTCAGTGTTTTCTTCATCAGAATTTAAGCCCATGATGATGCGACTTGATGATTTGTACTTTCTGTTTCCACATATAACTGCTCTAAATAGTTATGCTACATTATTCGTTTTTATGTAACGTTCGACAAACGTTCTCGATGGATTAAATCTGCGTCACGTCCACTCCAGCGTTCACTTTGTCAGAAGTCACATTTTTCACACAGTGCATATCTCACTCACCCTTGATTGAAACTAAAATTAATTCAACAGCACTTTGCAAACTTCTGCAACGTCACATCCAGCGCAAATTGAACTCTCCAGATGAAGATGCTGTCTGAGATTATTGATAGAAATCATTATTTAAACATGCTGCACAACAAAAGTGCTGACTCAAATGTTCCCACATCAGCAGATTACGCCGATAACATCAGAGGAAAGCAGAGGGGATTTTTTTTTTTTCTGTTCAGAGAGCGAGCATCTTGAATGAGACAGGAGGAAAGCAAACCACGAGGACATGAAAGAATTTGCAAAGCCTTTGACTTTCAAATGAATGAGATGTATCTAATATGTAGTCCTGTTTTATTTAAGACAGCAAAGGTGCTATGCTAAATAGTTCCCTGGAAATCCTGCAAAGCCCCGGCCAGATGTATGATTTGCTCAAAACCTCTTTTCTCGACCAATTCTCCTCAAAAATATAATCCTGAATACTTAAATATGCTATCAATTTGTTGCGGGCTAACTCGAGTGTGTGTTTTTGGCAGGGGCTTTTGTGGGTGGCAGGCAGACAAGTGGGAGAAAAAAATGGGCGAGTATTTTGGTCTTGGACAGCAGAGCAGTAGTTAGGAAGCAGCTACAAGAAGCCGGCTCTCCCTGCAGTAATGAACTTTTTTTTTCTTTTCCTGGGGAGATTTTGCTGCCAATTTGGTGGTGCCTGTGGGAAGCAGATCGTCTTTTTTTTCTATTTTCCTTCTCTCCATCTCAAAGTAAAATCACCTGGGATGTAATTAATTAATTAGAATCAGTGTGCCGAGCTGTAGGGTAGGGGGTACCGGGCACATGTGTTTTTGGTGGTGCGCTGTGGTCGATGTGTTCCGGGTGATTGGGATTAATAACAGGGGGCCAATTTGAACTGGGAATCAGTGCTCTTAATAGACATGGGGGGACGCACCGGGGGAAGTGGGGGAGGGAGGAGAGGGTTCAGGGGTGCACAGACCCCCCAGCTGCTGGAACAAAGCGCCCTTTGTGAGGGGGGCGCATTACAGTATGCACTTTACTTTGTGGCTGCGGTAATCATATAACTCAATCTACAGCCTCAGTCTTTTATTTTGGAAAGGTAAAAACACTTAAAGATGATTCGCTGAACATGCGGCGACAATAAGATCTGATTCCACAAATTTCATTTCATTTGTTTTGTTCCAGTCATGGCAATTTACAAAGTTTTCCATAAAGAAAAAAAAAGAAAGAAAACAATTTTGCAATTTTAACCACCCGTGTCTGAAAAGCAGCAGGGAGAAGGGAGAAAAAATGTTGGTAGAAAAGCTACGACTGAGTACTCCATCATGTGAACTCAACCTGCACAGTGTGAAAAGGTGGAGACCGCTCTGGGCTACAGCACGTTATCAAAATGCTAATAGGCTTTATCACAGCCGGAGCAGCGCGACCTACACACTGGGACTGTCAAAGTAGCTTTTCAGAAGAGGAGTTTCCCCTTCAAGAAGAGAGCGGCCATCTGGTTTAAAGACCGCTCAATCAATTGCTCTGAAATCCTGAAATTGCTACTCTTTGGCTATGCAATCAGAGCTGTGGTCGGCGGGTTGATGGTACAGCGATGTATGGAGCGCCAGCTAGGATCGGGTTTTGATGATGTCACAGGTGTGGGTACAGAGAGGATGAAACAACACTGTACCACTTGTTTTATATTAGGAGAGGGTCTTTTTAATCAGACTCTCACAGACCCATGAAGGCTGCGACCAGACTGTCCTGCATACATTGTCCAAAGATTAAATGACGACAGTACAGTATGTATGTAGAGTTGGGCGATACGGGAAAATGTTTATCACAATATATTTTTTTCATATCAGTTGATATTGATATATGTCACATTATAAAAAATGAAATTGGACAGTGTTTATTGGTAGCATGTCTTTTGCAATACAATGAGCTACTGCATCTGTGGGGTCTTTGTGTCGCTTTGACGTTTTGTCGTCAGGCGTGCTAGAGAAAGTAGAATGGTCAGCTGTAGGCCTGTCGCGATAATCAATAAATCGCCTTATCGCTCGGTAAATAAAAACGAGGTCGATAACTTTGCCAGCCTCGATAATTGACGTGCGTTTGTTTTCCTCCTCTCTCGCTACCAAACACGCTGGATGAGAGAGGAGGTCTCACTCTGCGCATTTTTCTCGGCACCTGGGGGCGTTGGCTCTATAGCGGAATGAACGGAGTTAGTGAACCCTCCCGTCAGTCATTCAGTATCTTTGTCACGGGGGGGCGCGCGCACAGGTACACGTGGGCGCGCACAGGCACACAGACACAGACTTTTGGATACAGTGCTGCAAGTGAGCGTAGTGAGTGAAAAGCAAGCAAACAGAATGAACACGACAGCTTTGGTGTCTAAACCGAACGCAACAGCCCAAGTGTGGGAATATTTCGGCTCTAAACCAGTTTTGTTTTCGTCAACCACAAAACTCCACGTGTGTGCGCGCGCGCTCGTGTGTGTTTGTGTGTTGGAGGAGCACAGCAGGCTGATGAGAGCTGTCAGAGCGGACTGAAGCTGCTCCTATATGTTTAGCGTTTAACTGACTGAGTTTTCCAACTGTGTTCGTCATTTTCGTCTCGTCCCATCAACGTAAACGCACTTTCGTCTCGTCACATTTTAGTCATCTCCGACTTATGTTTAGCTCGTCAACGTTACGTCTTCGTCGTGGGTGAAATTAAAGTTTATCACTTTTGACACGATGTACTCACATTATTATGCCATTTAATATCATTATCTATAATTTAAAAACGGTGTCAATAATATCGTTTATCGGCAATAATTTGTAGCACAATTATCGTCCAGCAAAATTTGTTATCGTGACAGGCCTAGTCAGCTGTTTCGGCTGCACAGGCGCCACGGGCTCTTTGCTTCACTCAGGGTTTGTAACCTTTTGCATTGCATGTGCTCTACCGCGTGGCACTGCTGCAGGTGGTGAAAAAGATTTGAGGTATTCCCCGACTTTTCGAGAACATGTACTCGACATAATTTGCAGTGCACGTTACTCTGCTTCATGTCCGACTTTAAAAAAACAAAATATCTCCACACCAGTGATGTTTTGTGCCACTGTTGTCAACTACACTCACCGGCCACTTTATTAGGTACACCTGTCCAACTGCTCGTTAACACTTAATTTCTAATCAGCCAATCACATGGCGGCAACTTAGTGCATTTAGGCATGTAGACATGGTCAAGACAATCTCCTGCAGTTCAAACCGCGCATCAGTATGGGGAAGAAAGGTGATTTGAGTGACTTTGAACATGGCATGGTCGTTGGTGCCAGAAGGGCTGGTCTGAGTATTTCAGAAACTGCTGATCTACTGGGATTTTCAGACACAACTATCTCTAGGGTTTACAGAGAATGGTCCGAAAAAGAAAAAATATCCAGTGAGCAGCAGTTCTGTGGGCGGAAATGCCTTGTTGATGCCAGAGGTCAGAGGAGAATGGCCAGACTGGTTCGAGCTGATAGAAAGGCAACAGTGACTCAAATAACCACCCGTTACAACCAAGGTAGGCAGAAGAGCATCTCTGAACGCACAGTACGACGAACTTTGAGGCAGATGGGCTACAGCAGCAGAAGACCACACCGGGTGCCACTCCTTTCAGCTAAGAACAGGAAACTGAGGCTACAATTTGCACAAGCTCATCGAAATTGGACAATAGAAGATTGGAAAAACGTTGCCTGGTCTGATGAGTCTCGATTTCTGCTGCGACATTCGGATGGTAGGGTCAGAATTTGGCGTCAACATCATGAAAGCATGGATCCATCCTGCCTTGTATCAACAGTTCAGGCTGGTGGTGGTGGTGTCATGGTGTGGGGAATATTTTCTTGGCACTCTTTGGGCCCCTTGGTACCAATTGAGCATCGTTGCAACGCCACAGCCTACCTGAGTATTGTTGCTGACCATGTCCATCCCTTTATGACCACAATGTACCCAACTTCAGATGGCTACTTTCAGCAGGATAATGCGCCATGTCATAAAGCTGGAATCATCTCAGACTGGTTTCTTGAACATGACAATGAGTTCACTGTACTCAAATGGCCTCCACAGTCACCAGATCTCAATCCAATAGAGCATCTTTGGGATGTGGTGGAACGGGAGATTTGCATCATGGATGTGCAGCCGACAAATCTGCGGCAACTGTGTGATGCCATCATGTCAATATGGACCAAGCTCTCTGAGGAATGCTTCCAGCACCTTGTTGAATCTATGCCACGAAGAATTGAGGCAGTTCTGAAGGCAAAAGGGGGTCCAACCCGTTACTAGCATGGTGTACCTAATAAAGTGGCCGGTGAGTGTATGTCATCATTTGTTGAACCCTCATCTGCATTTCTGCCGGAGGTAGCACTCAGGAGTGCTGTCGGCTTCACCTGTTCAAGTGCTATGGTTGCATGTAGCTGCAGCCTGCTACTACCCAGTTGTTTGCTACTTGGTTCAACACGAAGCGGACCAAGAGCAACTCCCCTTTTCCATTAGCTATACGTAAAGTCGACCAAAACAAGGCAGAATGCCTACTATCGAAAAGAATACTGACCATGTTTCATATTGATATTGAGGGAAATTTATTTTCGATATATATCCCATTGTTTTATTGCCCAGCCCTAGCTGCGACCAAACTGTCCTGCATACATTCTCCAAAGACTACAGTTCAGTATGGACTTTTCACATGTGTATGCAAATGAAAGGGAAACTGTGCAAAGTACACAGCAGCTGAGGGCCTAGGATGGTACAAACACTTTGGACAGCAGTGCAAAATGCATCCAAGGATCTCCTGCAAACACAGCTCCTGTCACACATGTCACGTAGACGGCGTAGAGAACGAATGGCTGTGGATGCATGGTGCGGAGGAGATAAACACAAGGATCCCCCCGACAAAACAAACCTCTGGCTGAGTCCCAAACAACTGAGAAAATAAACCAAAAACTCGACTCAAACATTTGGGCCAGAGGGGCGAGTTCATTTTTGTGTTTCTAGGAAGCACAACACACCCCGCACGCATTCAGAGAATAAACGATGAACTCAAGTAACTGTTCTCCTTATCTTTTTTAATATGAAAAAATGTGTGCTTGTGCTAAATTTGCCATGGGTCGGGGAAGGAAATGGCACATTTATTCTACGCTCGAAAAAGAAAACAATCCAAAGGCAAAAAAAGGATGAAAAGAAAAACACAGCAACAGAAATGGGAATTCAACACTTTACGGTGGCAGAGCCCGAGCCGGTCATACCGGCACAATGACAACCTAAACTTAATGGAAATGAAAACACTAAAGCAAAGGAAACTTACTTGTAACTTCCTTCCACCTGGCATACCATGAAGACAGCTGAACACAGCCGTCGCCCCTAACCACAGCCTCCACTACAGTGTAAAATATATGAAATACAGGGACTTTAAACTCTGCTGTGGTAAAAACTAATTCAGTTAAGTGGTAGTGAGGACTCTGCGAAACAGTGACCCCGTCCAATAACAACACATCCTGCTTCAGATTAAATGTAAGGGTCATACGTCCATAAACTAAATCAGCAATTAGTGCTCCTTAAGTTCTCAGAGACAGGCTGTTATTTTTTCACTGAAATAAAAATGTAGTAACTGTGCGACATTAACGGATCGCAAAAGAAAACTATGCTAAAACAACCTGACGACACATCGTGTCTGAGATTTTATGAGGGAGAAATGTTGATTTCAGCTTCACCAGCTTTTACCAACCTTCAGCTGTGTTAAAATCATGACTTTTGCCCACTTTAAAAATACTCCTGAGCTGTACAAGAATTTTCTGCCAAAATAAACGATAAAAAAGTCAAACGTTTTGATGCTTTCTGCTCTGGTTTCATAGTGAATTCTGTTACCACTTCTTTATATGTTTGATGTAAGCCACGTGACTTTGCAAAGCAGCGGCTGTAACATAAATACACCTAAAACAGAGAAGCGTAATAAAGCTTCACCCTCCTGCTCACACTCAGCTCCCACACATCACCCTGGCTGCCTTAGTAGAAAAGTGAATTTGAAGGGCTCTTCATCTTTACTCTGTGTTGGTATATGCATGTACGAGAGTCCTGCATGATTCACTGCGGATGGCACAGTGCGGCTGACATTACCAAGATTTTAATGTGCTGTGCGTGAGATTGCTTTAAGGTTGTAAAAAATATCAAAGCCCAGAAGAGGATATGAACCTGGGCTGCTGTGCATTGTTACCGAGCAGAGTGTGGGAAGCATAGAGAGGCCGGGATAATAGATCCCCTCCAGACTGCACCATGATGGATGCACCATAAAAAAGTCCACACAGCCTCCAACAGCTTTTAAAAGTTCAAATTAGGGCAGTTTCCTGTTTTGTTTTTTTGACATAACCATCAAAGACACACTGCTGTATATTTTAGCCGAGTGAAAATCATGTTTATGGTTTAGTGTTTAGCTCAAGGGCTTTTTGGTTTTCACTTCAATACAATCACAAAAAATCATGATATTACAGTCCTGTCTGAAACGGAGAATACTCACTACAATGGGAACATGAATAAAAGGAAAGGTGGAGATTTTTTCCAGCTGAAGTTAAAAAGATCATTTCATGATCATGAATCCATCATAATAAAAACAAAGTGCCAGTAAAATATTCTGAGGATCAAAACCTTAACTTTGCATGGAGCTGCTTGACTAAATCGCTTATAATTATATTTATATAATTGTTTTCATCATTGTTATTGACTAAATTAGTCATAATTCTGCGTTTATTATCAGCACTTCTGCACCCACAGATTTCAAGTTCAATTTTCTGATTTCTGCCCATCAATGATTCTGGTACATACTGAACTTTCTGCCCGTCAATTTAAAAGCCGACTGTGATTGAACAAAGAAACTAAAGACGCTAAATCAAAATTTATCTTCAAAAAAGTGTCAAAGCCAGTATGTTGAGTAAATACAGGGAAATATGTTAATCTAAGTCTTGGTATGTTGGTTTTGTGAAAAAAGTTTGTATTAACATGGTCTTTTCTGTTCGTTTTGTGGGTTTATTTTTGAAAATAAAAAATACTGAACTGTAAAAAGGCATGTTGGTCTGCAGCTCTTGTTTATTTTATTATGTGTTTAGTTGATTAATATATTATGAAAGAGGGGCAGACTCTTTAAGAGTTTTCTTCTTTCTGCTCCTTTTCATTCACATGTTTGAGATTTTTCCTTGTTTGTATTGAATGTTTTAAATATTAACTGAATGAAATAAAGTATGAAAATGAAAAATAAAATGAAATGATTTTTACCTAATGTTTGTCGTGGTGTTGCACTGCCAGATCTGAATGTTTGTTGATATGATTAAGATAAACTCGCCACTCCAGATATTTCATGGCACCAGGCTGACACCGAGTAAGGTGTGGCACATGCCATGAAATTACACGCTTCTGTAAAAACCATGGCACTAATTACTTTATCATGACACAAATGTAGGGTTTCTATAAATACCGACAGTCCCAGTTTAAGTGTGGGAAGTGGTCTTAACTTTGTTTTGCAGGGGGTTTACTTTCTCTGTATTTCAAAGTGTAAGAGCTGCACCTCTGCAGTGGAAGTGTTATTGTTTTCTTGCAGCGGGTTCTCAAAGGACGTGTTTTATTTGTTGAAGCTGCACCACTTGACAGACACAACTGTGAAGAGAAGCAGATTAACCTTCCCAGACCCCTGAAGTCAAACCTCTCACTCTGTCTGCCTCCCATCACTCTCCTTTATCCGTCTTTCCAGCTTTGATTTCCCACTGTCTAATTTCTTCCTCATTCCTAGTTCTTCCTCCTCTCTCATCTAACGCGTCCTCTTGCCGACTCCTCAGGTCTCACGCTGTCATACCTCACCGCAAATGAGCAGTCTGGCTGTGCACACAGCCACATGGGAACCCCTTTCACACTGCACCACAACACAGTCCTAATTAGCCCAGAAACTAGCGGCTTCAGTTTTGAGTCTGCACAGCTCGCCTTTCCAATCCCCTGTCCAACAATGTTTGTCTGGATGAGTATAGGTTAATTACATCCAGTTCAACCCTTGGACTCCTATCCCCCTCTTGTTGTTATTTTTTTCTATAAAGTTTTGTTTTTGTTAACTTTTCTCACAATACAGGTGTGAACCATAAAATATCTGACCAGTGCATTCGCTTAGCTTTTAAATCTGATATAATCAACAACAAAGTTAACAGATATTAAAAGTCCACCCAAATAAATGACCACACAGTCAGCTAACCTCCTGGGGGGCAGATGTTTATGGGCTGATGAGTCACCCCATGTGTGATTTCTCTGTTTTTTGGCGTCGCCATTCTGTAACTCAGTAACTAAACGCTGCGGTCAACGGACTTCATGTTACCGAGACCTCTGACAGTTTGGTTGACATCACCGCTGCCCACAAAAGAGAGATGGCTGTTTACCAAGTTTGCACCATCATTAAATAAAAGATCCCACTTATAAAGATTACAGTAAATAAAACACAGTTGAATAAAGCAAAAAACCATTTAAACATATCAAAATATAGACATGAATGGTAGTGGAAAACTTTGCTTTTTAGCCAACAATAACAAATTCTGTTCGTGGTATGCACTGATTTAAAAAATTCAACTTATTGTGCAAGTTGTGTTTTTTGGATTTGGGAGGTGCTGATGTTCCTGGGACTGAGTTTGTTTATTGTGCTGTTTTAAAGTGATGAAAACTGCTGAAAAATGACGGTGGAGATTCAATGTGACGCAGACTGGGTGGTGGTTAATCACAGAACTGGTGGTTTTTGAAGAAACCCTGGAGTCCTTACAGTTACTGGAAATGAAGCAGGAGAAGTAGGAGGACCTGGCCTTCTTTCGAGCTTAATGATAAGAAGACTCCCAGTTTTACATTATAAATGCCATTTGTCTTTATTTTTCTGTTCAACCAAATTTTACTCACTATATTTGGATTTAGCCAGGCCATCTTTCCAGTTGGATTAAATTGTTTGTTCTTGAGCATCAGAATCTAATACTGCTCTACATGTTATTGAAAACTCTACCAAACTTTTTCAGTTCAGCAAATCAAGAGTTTTTCAATTCTCTTGCCTAAAGACGCATTTGAAAAGCCATCACAAAGGCTATCCAAGGATGAAAAAAGAACAAAATAGGTGTTGCAGCGCAGCATGAGGGTGAAAGCAAGACCTTGAAAGAAGCTTTGTGGTCAGAAACACAAATGCATTTGCAGAGTTCAGCACTTTAAAGAATAAAGAATACATCTGAGGTGAGAACAATGTCAAGGGTACAGTCTTTAAAATGACTGGCGGATAAACTTTTAAATCAACCAAAGGAATAAAGTAGTCGCCATGCTGACCAGCTAAACGCTTAAAGCTCCGGTGAAGATCTTTGTTTGTTTGTTTTTCAACTTTGGCGCCCCTTGTGGCCAAATCAATCTTTGCTTGTATTGTATTCTACATGCTCAAGTAATGTTTCTTAAAAACAAACCTCATCCTGCTGACTTTTGAGAGTTATTCATTAACCATGAATATTTATGCAGAAACTATAATAGCTGGGGTGTTTCTTCTTGGCAAATGCCCTCTCGTACTCGTCTTGTCCCTGATGGCCTTATTTGCTTTTCGATATCACAAAATAGCAACAATATGAATTTCAGTCTGGTTCATAAATATCCACTATGTCCCATAGAAGCTCGAAAAGCATAACGAGTCCCCACAGAAATTCAATGCTGAGGAAAGTTGAAATATATATCACTTCCATGTAATAAGTCATTTGTGGTAGTATGGTTCTGGTTTGCATGATTCATGTGTGCTCATGAAAAATCAAGGCAGGGAGAAGAGCGGCCAAAACCCCTCAAGTATGTGGTGGTACGACTCTGTTCTGAGATCTCCCTGCTCTCCTGGTGAGTGTATGAAAATGTTCAAAGTCTGAGGTGAGGAGAGCACACCTTTCACGAAAGCTAGAGCAGGAAGAGCATCAGCCAAGACTTCTGATGCAGAACAGATCAGCATCAGTGAAAATCCACGAGACTCTGGTAAAATCAGACCCAGCATAAAAAGGAGGAGGTAGGGTGGAGGCAGGGGGAGCATCAGCAAAGACTTCAGGGGGAGCATCAGCAAAGACTTCTGATCTAGAACCAATCAGCATCAGCCCAAATGTCATTGATATCAATACAAAGCCAACTTTGAAGTGATCAGATTATTAAAAGCCTTTTTTCAATAGGCATCAAAGCTGAGAGAACAGAGAGTACAAATTTGATCGTACAACTTCAAGTCCTGGCTAGAGCTAATTGTCTTGGTTACAACAGTTAACACATGGTCCGGGTTTTTAGACAGTTGCAGTCAATGGTCTTATGCGGACTTTCATGCTGTACAATGCTGCATGACTATATCCAAACTTTGCAAAGCTCACAGTTAACCACAAAGAGCTGTCACAGAAATGCATATGTGGGACATTTTATCAAACATCCAAAAAAAGAGAAAAGATTAACTCCATTTAACTGAACTTGGATCACCAACATCAGTTTCATTAGCAAGCAGCAAACCACAAAACGTAATAGTCGTCTCCTAGCAACAGCAGCTCTTGAATGTCAGTCAACTAACGATGAGACAGTGTGTCTTTGGATAAGTCTATAAACGGTACAACTCTCCTGATATTTACAGGTCTATTATTTATTTGTTTTTCTTACAGTCAGGGGAATCAAAATTTCAGATCTGCTTCAAACTTTAGGCTCTTTTCAAATTGTCAGGCTTGTGCAATGTTGTGCGGAAACAAGCGCACACAGACTTTGAAAGCAAACAGACAGGATGTTTTTTACCTTACCTCCAGTTGGTGTCTATTTGTGTGTGTCTCTGCTGCACTCTCTTTTCTTATCATATGTGTGGTAAGACAGCTGACAATACACTTTAGCAGCCAATGCATTGGGGGGTAGAGAGTTTATCTGACATTTCAGATAAACACGGTATCTTCTTTCTCTCAAAAGAAAACCATTTGATGACGATTTAAAATATTAACTACTCCTCTGGTTTGTGGATTTTGTCTCTATCTAGCAGAGTCAATATGTAGCCTTATGAAGAATTCATGCAAACAAAACAAATTCCATCACTAGAGTGGGTATGAAACAGTCAGAGAGGCACAGAGAAAAAAGCACAACCACACTGTGTAAGAATGGTTTGCAAACACTTAATAGATGATAAAAAAATGTTCATTCCAAATTCATGCTAATATGGCACAGTGTCTGTTTATTATCTGTGTATGCAGCCAGGCCACATGGGAGGACAGCTATTGAGTTAGAGGGCTTTTAAATGAGGCATTTAGGACGTGCCATAAAGAAGCTATTAACTGATTTGTTCTCTATAACACAGTTTTACACAGTCCACAGGAAAACTTACACACTGACAACTAGGAAGGTAAGACTTAATGAAAGTCACAAAGGTTTGCTTCTCCTAGTCTGAATGGAATCTGCTTTGATTGGGTATTTTATAATATTCCACTTTTCATAACTCTTTCTAAAGGTCTTCTGCACTTCATTTGTGCTTTGAAACCGCCTAAAGACCTTGGGCGGCACAGAGTATCCAGATTTTTAAAAGCCTACCTTTTTAGTAGTTTTTTTTTTTTGTTTTTTTAGATTTTGGGGTTTTATTATTCTACTCATCATGTCATTGTATTTTTTTATTCATTCCTCTTTCTGAATGTGCTATTTTAAGTGTAAACATTTTAAGCATTGACCAAAGATCGGTATTTTCACGATTTATAATCAGCATCTGACGTTTTTTTTGCCACCAATGCAAATACATTTATTTTAAAACGTGCTTTGTTGGCTTCACACAGCCGCCTCTATCTGCCTGATGTCACCACTCTTGACTGTGTTGGCTACACAGACAGTCAATCAACACTGAAGCTTTAAGGTGCCGCTTCACAGCAAGGGAAAGAGAAAGGAGAGTGCATCTTATTACACAACAGTTTAAGGTTTTTTTATTACAAATTTTCACAGCGTACACTACATTTTTACTGCAAATGAATATCAGCTCTAAATATCAGCTACCAGTTTCCTTGATTATGAATAATCGGTATCTCTATCAGCCAAAAAAATAATAAGTTATCTGTCGATCCTTAAAACATTAGAATTTTTTATATATGAATAAAGTGGAGATATGGTGGTACTTTAATGCCACATTTTGCAGCTCAAAGCAACTCATGGTGCTGCTATGTAAAATGAGTCAGTGTTCAAAATCGAAGACATATTGTAGAAATTAAAATAGACAGTAAAAGTACATGCAAGAAACGATTTCTGTATCATCTAGAAGAATTTGAACTCTATTTGGATGTAATGAGATTGCCCTGCTATATCTCCAATGTAAAGCAGTTTCTGTGTTTTGAATATACACTCATGTAGTTTTGTATCATGTTGTATTTCCCACTTTAAGATGAAGCTTTTACCATCACACATTAGTGAAGAATTTGAGGAGAATCATTTGAGACAAGCCAACTCAAGGTCACTTTCATTCACCAATCTGTTTGGTTCAGCCATAACAGATGAATCATGAAACTCAATATTACAAGAGAAGACCTTTTGACATGCTTGATATTTGGCAGAAAATGGTATTAAAATGCACAAGAGTTATGGGTCCCATACCGAGAACTTTTACAAGAAATCGTCCTGGTTTTTGATAGGCCAGTCCAGCAATTATGAAATTATGAGAGTTTTGAATGGAGGAGGGGGAGGAATGAGCTAACTCTTTGGCAGTGTTGGCCATGAGAAAAGCCAGATCAGCTGCTGTGTGTGTACTTGTGATTATTTTAAAATCTATCAGATAAAGACAGCGTGAAAGGTTTAAGATATAGTTTTTGGAGCAGAGAGGTTCAGCTGTCTGCATTGCTGTCTGACCACTGACACAGCTGCTCAAACTCTCACTGTAGACGTCCATGCTGTGTGTAGACTGTGTGTTCGGGTGCATGTGTGTGTCACAAGCTAATGGCCGGTGTGTGTGCATGTGAGAAGTCGTGATATTTCATTTTGGGTGGTAGTGTTAGCAGCACTGGTGTTAGGGTTGACAAGGGTTAAACCTAGCTTGTTTGAAACAGGATTAACCCCCCAATTCTCATGTGGACTCTCTGTGTGAGGGCGGCCAACATTTTGCCTACCGTCACGTTCGCTTTATGGAGCGGCTCTGGGCTGCTGGCGGACAGCTGAAACCTGAGAGGGTTCCTCAGCTCCTCCAAATGTACTAGTATAGGGGGGCTTTTATTTGGTGAAACTTCCATCCAGACATGTGCTGCTTTGAGTTTCTAATGTGTCAGGATTTTCAGCTGCTTCTACATCTGAGAAGTATGAATTTGAACAGAAGTATGTAAAGGTTGGAGGAATCGTGTTTGAGGCTACTTTACTCCCCTGCCAAAACTAAACCTTAGCTGAGGCTTAAGTCTGTCTGTGAATGGCATCAAGGTAAGGAAAAGCCTCAGCAGGTTTCCAGACTGCTCCATGAGGATGTTTGACTGCCAAGCAGGCTGATGGACCAGGCCAGAGGCAGGTCTGCAAGGACTGTTAGGGCAACGTTATGGCATGCTTTGCCAATTCTTTTGTGTCACAGCGTGCATGTGGGATAGTCCCACTCATGGCTGCAGTGTGCGTCTAGTCTAGCAGGTGTCATTTGAGACGGCCAGGGAGTAATGCAAGGTATGGCAGGCTCTGAATTATAGAAACTGGCAGCAGGCTATGCTTAGAGAAATGGGATACAGTGCTTTTAAATACACAGATCGAGTGGCTGTCTTAATCGCAGCAGATTAGTACATTAGTTTTTTATTAGCTGCTTTGAGATGAAAGTGATGCGACACATTAACAAAAGGGAAAAAGTCGGAGAAGCTGGTAAAATATTCAGAAATTTGTCAAGAAAGCAAGAATATTCCGGCCTTAAATTTATTTAGAGTCAAACACACTCAGTCTGATTGCATTTCCATGAAGAAATGATCATAAATGTTCTTGAGCTGCGTCCCGCTGCTGCAGTCAATGATGGACTGGTTAGAGGTCTCGCTACAAACAAGCAGCTGCTGGAAGAAAGTGGGTGAGTTGTGTTTAGTCTCTTTGCAAAAGAAATCAGGCAATGTTAAAAAGATGTTTGGTGGCTAGTGCTATGACTGGGACCCTGTTTATACTGTTGATGAAGTTAGGTGCTGTTCTGAGCATTATTTGTAACTGTAGAGTGGTGTTTTGGTTGAGGTTTATGAGTGGCTCCTTAGACCACTGTGTATTGCTATTGTGCAGTTGTTACTAAAGTCGATATAACTAAGCAAGCGGTCGGCTACATTCATCTCGAGGGGGTGTATAACTCGGTGTTACGGTGTCACTAAATTAATTTAACACCGGAATATCCCTTTAAACTGATTCCACCAAACCAGGTAGAGATTGGAGGACTTTAATATTCACGACTTATCTAAACCAACAAAAACTCTTCTGTTTTCTTATTTTTTTATATTGTAGTTGTAAAATGCAAAAAATCTCAGGGTCTAGTTTCGGTGTGATTCAATAGATAGGAATCTGCAGAAAGCCAATGTGCATCTGCATTCCTGCAGGTTTCCAGAAAAGGACTCATAACAGCCTGTAAAGAATACTCTAAGCACAGTTTTTCCTCACATGACAGATAAACATGCTAATCTCTGTTTGTTCCCTTGTCTTTTCTCATTTCCTCTTGGATCGGTCTGATACTATAATTTTCCATGTGGTGTTGACACAGAGAAATCCTTATTTTCCCACAACCTAACAATGGTATATTATTTTCTATAGAAGTCTGTTAACAACTCTTCATGCTTTCGGCTGTTTTTGTTTATGTCCCTGTTTCTCCTCCATTTTGATCATAATTGCCGTCCGCTTCCTTGGTTTTCCTCTCTCCCCCTTTCTCTGTAGCCCGCTCTAATTTTGTTCCCTCCTTTCCTCTGCTTGATGTGGTTGGAAAAAAAAGGGTTGCAGAGTAGAGGAATCGGGGTTCGGATGGAGTAAAAAACACATAAATAAGGGCAAAAAAGAAAAAGAGAGAATATATGAGCAATGTGACCCCAAAAGGAAATTGTGTGATTACTGACTCTGAGTTATGCACTCCAGGCCATCTGTTTATATGCCTACCTGCACAGTGTTTACCTGTCTGGAATGAAAAATTGGGAGATAAATCAAATCAAATTCCAACACATTTGTCAGTGCTAATGGGAAGAAGATTTTAAAGTAATGTTGACTTTGGATTTCTGACCCCGCTCCAGTAAATGCTCTCATAGGATGGCCCATTTGGCAATCAGGACCATATCTTTCACAATTACTAGCAATGCTTCGATAAAACACACATTTTCTTGAAATACTTATCAGACATCAAACATTTCCTCCACAGAAATGCTGGGTTGTGACCCTGACCACGTATTTAACCAAAGTCAGTCAGCAGCAGCATTTCCTTCATGGGCTGTAAAATCACTCAGCGGCTGAATCATCTCTTCCATGTTGCTCTAGCTGGACTTGTCATCATACTGTAGCAGCTCTGATTGATATTCTCGTGGAAAAGCTGCCAGACAGCTCGGCTGCATTCTACAGGAGCTTACTGGTATAATGTGCATAATTCACCGTGCTCATTGTAAGCCATCCGCTGCACTTCAGACTGATTAGCCATGAAAATGTGGCATACACATTCTTCAGAGTTGGGCTCTCTGCACCACACATAACAGTCGGTTTCTATGAATTTTCCAGGGCCTTTCCCAGGGCTTTAGTACAGTCAGGGGTCCTCCACCCAGGGGGGGATGAATGGACACAGCTGGAATGTGAAAGATGCTCGATGTGGGGGAGAAAAATGAGTCTGGAAACATTATTGACATGTTCTTGGGACAACATAATGCTACGGTGCTGCAACACAGCTGAGACGAGTAAACAGCCCAGTCTCACTCCTAACTCATCAAAAATGTCAACTTGTTTACGTCTCAACTCTTAACAATGTCCCCCAGCTTATCGTTTTGATGTGGTGTTGAAACCAGGTGCTAAGTAAAATGTAGAGCAAAGACTACAAGGATTCAGCGGGGACGGTGGTTATGAGCAATCACTGAGTCAGAGAAAATAAGACCGTTTGCGAGAAGAATTGGGTCAGATTTATAAGAAACGAAAAACAAGAGTGAACTTATTTTAAGAAGTTCACTCCTTTATATTTAGCAGCATATGTGGTGTGCTGGTTAACTAGCATGGTGTATACAGCATATGCTCTCTGAGGTGAGTTATTTTTTGTGCAAAAACACGACAGTATGGGATTTAGAGTGCATTGGAAAATTCAAAATAAAGTAAACAGCCTCGCCTAAAGCAGTCACTTGAACAAAATGTCTGTAAAAAAAGAGAGTAATAAAGTGATTCACTCCCTGCCTCATTAACAACCACACAGATAATGCACAGGTAAATCACAGCGCAGCACTGATCTACATTACAGTCAACTGCAAAATAGACGGGATTAAGTTTTTACAACCGTGCACCACATGCTTGTTCTGATTTTAAAAATGGAAATGAACGCCTGCAACACTTAAATCCTTAGATTTTCTCAAAATTGACAGTGCGCCTAATGTATGATTACTTATTGTGCTTACTGACCGATTTCACGTGGTACAATGCACTCAAAAATCTATCGAAATGTGAAAGTGTGACTTTGGTAAACTCAATGGATATTCTGAGCATACGGTACGCTGTGTTGCTACCTGATAGGACCCCTGAGCAGTCTACAACACTGTCTGACTACAATGTCTAAACTGGAAGTGCATTTATGTAAGGCAGCCCGGCCCGGAGTATGCGCTAGCAACAATAAACCAATCAATGCTTAATGCGCCTTACAATCCGGTGCGCATTATGTGTGAACAAAGACACGTTTATTCACAGTGCGCCGTACAACCAGGTGCACCTTATCGCCCGAAAAATATGGTATTTACAATAACAATAGATACACATAAAGTGTAATGACGATCACTCTAGTGTCTGGAAACACTGGTAAATAATAATATTTCTCTCTTCTTCAGTAAGTGCTTGATGAGGCTCTGTCACTCAACACACGATTAATTTATTACAGTTCTTTTAAAAAAAATGAATATTTGTGGGGTTTTTTAAAGAGAAGATATTTAAACATCACCTTTTTAACTGATTTTGGCAACCCTATGAGGTACCAAAATATTTTCTTTATTATCTGTCACTCATGCCGGACAGTTGGCAAAGTTACACAGCAGTCATGCCAGCATTAAGTTGTACTGCCCCCGTTAGCCTCCTCAAATTGACTAAAATCGATATTACCAAAAGGCCAAAAAAGGGCTGGTTCAAAATTAAACAGACTATAGACAGTTTCTCACTCCACAAAAAGCCAGCACTCACACTGTACATCCCCTTCCTCAGGTATGCTCTATGTTTTATTGAAGCCTGAGGGAGCTGCTTAGTGTGGTCAGTCACAGGTGCAGGGAAATGGCAGCTCGGCGCTGGGCCCATGACAACTGTCAAAAGGCGAAATGAAGGCTCAGGCAGCATGAGCCGTCAAGTCAGGCAGGAAATGTACTGTTTTTTTCTTTTTTTTTGGTTTCCACATGAAGGATAGGAAGGAGGGTGGCACACAAGGGCAGCCCCTAGTCAACCCCACATCTCCAGCCAGTCACACTTATTGGACCGTGGCTTTCTCACCCAATCCCTCAGAGCCCCAGAGGAGGAGGCTGACAGCTCCTCCAACAGGCCTTACTGCTTTGGAGTGTCAGCAACAGGTGCCAAAGACTTTCTCTGAGTGTGGTTGTTATGCATCACCTTAGAAACTTCAGTCTGTTGTGTTTTTTTTTATCCTCTTAGAGAAATAAGACTCCTCTGAAGGAGATGAAGAGTGGAGAAACGGACTCCTTCACAATGAGCTGTTTGGATCAATCAAGGACTCATATTTTTTACTACAAATAGCTCTTTAATAAATAAACTGAGCCAAGCCTGGACTTAAAAACAACCTTTTTAACAAATTAATAAACACGCAGTAACAGCTGCAATTCGATGTTGGACTGGCTTCCGATTGTTAGTCCTGCCTGACCTGAATCAATCTCAAACATATAAAGATGAAGACAACACAGTTATTTCCAATCTGTGTCTTTACAACCTAACTCTTCTGTCTCAAATAACCCCGAAAATCTGTAATAAATCAAGATTAAGTGGAAAGTCCTGTTTCCAGAGGTCTGACTTTGAGATAAAGCTCTTTCAGCAACATCTTGTGATTTCAGCTTGCCTTAATATTTATGACAAGTTATCCCTTGTTAAAAGAAAGCCATTCGAACCCTTTAGTGGCTCCCTTTCGAGTTAAAAGTTTATCATAAGGTATTCAATGTGCACCAAAACAGTTTCACAAAACTTCAAATCCAAAACTCTGTTCATGTTAGAACCTATATGCACCTACTATTTCAGGAACAATCAAGTTTGGAGATGGAGACTTGAATAAAAATGTTGAATTAGTCGAGGGATTTACAAGTCTGCATGTTCGAAAAGCTCATGAAAAGCTCCTATTAATCATTTTGATGGTTTTACTGGAATAAAACATTGTAAGGGATGAGGTAATTGGGGAAAAGAGTTCACAGGAGAGAAGCTTACTCTCCTCAATTGAAAGTCAAACGACGAATACAGCATATTCAGCTCACACGCCGGTCACGCTCACTTAAAAACCCAACATAGCTTTTAAAAACCCCAACAGCTCATTGATTGAGCTACCAGTCATGAAGCTAACAACTCGAGCAGTGCAGTAACTGTGGGAAAGAGCCATGGTGGCTGCAGACTATGGCTATTGTTGATGTGTGTGTGTGTGTGTGTTCATGTAAAGCAAAGCTGTGGCTGTGGCCCACACACGCTGCTGACTTTGTAAACGCCTGTGTCAGGATCAAAAGCGGGGCTATCTGCAGACACACTTGATTAGTGAAAGGGCAGCTCACAATAGCAGCTATAATGAAGACTGCTGGACTGCTTTTTCTCTCCTAATGCTCTAAGTACTGTAAGAGCTCAGTCTGTTTTGATTGGCATTGCGTGATCTTCATGTAAAAAGAGGTAAAGATCTGATCAATTTTTGAGTTTATCTCTAGCATTAGTATTTATATATTTGATTTCAGATTTAATTTTCAGGACAAGGTTTTTTTTTTCTTCCTCCAACTGGAGATTTAGCTTTAATCTTGTCTTTTTTAATCACTTTCCTCACCCCCTGCACTCGCGATGACTGGACACACTTTCTTTTGTTATCAAAAGTCCTTGGTTTTGTTTCTTAATGCTCCATTTGAAAACCAATTAGCTTCTCTCTTGGATTCAATTACCAAAGTGAAAGGCTAGCGCTATCTTGCCTCTGCAATAATAACACAATAATTGTATTCACACGCAGCTCCTCCTCCAGCCCAGGCCTTTGGCGCACTGCTCTTTCAACCAGTGCCCGAGCCCCTCCTTTGGCCTTGGCTGCGTGCTTGTGAGTTGATTCAAACGTGGAGTGATTGTATCACTTTCTGATAAACAAAACTCGGCTGTTGGCCTGGCTCGTCTTTCAAAATCAATGAGGTCGGTAACATTCAGAATGGATCTCTCCTTGAGGACACGGTAAGCGCCTTGAAAATGAACTCCATATTTCCTCTGCTGTTGGCACATAGGCGTCTGGGTGTGTGCCTGTGCTGGCTGGAGACTGTGTGTAAAAATTAGTGTACATGTGCGACAGCAGAAGGGTCCGAGTTTGCGGCTGGGTGATTATGTGTTAGTGCAGAGTGTGTGTCTGTGTGTGCGTGCATGTGTGTGTCAGCAGTCAGTCATAATCTGGAAAGCTTCACCACTCACCAACAATGTTGATGATGTGTGCGCACAACACAGGCAAATGGCCTGAGACAGCAGTGAATATGCGTGTAATGAGGTTGAAACTGAAGAAAGATTGGGAGTTCAGACACAAGAGCTGTGTGAGTTGATTTCTTCATCCCTCTTTGTTATTTTCAGATTCAGCCAAATGCCACAATGTTCTTTTTTTTCCATGACAGGCAAATGTTGCTTTTGGAGTATGCTTTATATAAGGCACTTTAACCTCATCTTTTGAAATAGTAATTAATGAATACATGTTAAAAGATTTCAGTGCTTGCTTTACTCAGAAAACTGTATTTTTGATAGATTGATTATAAACCAAATTGCAATCTAAAAAGAATATATATTCAAAAGGTTGGCCTCCTTGTTTGTGTCTTAAAGGGAATGGTTTTCTTAAATGAGAAAAGTAAGTATAATAAAATGACACTCCGACCTCAGAGTGAGCATTCTTCTATTTAAATATATTTAAGACCTATTCACAAGAGACTGAAGAAGTTCAAAATGTTTGCAAAGTGAATTTTTTTTTTCTTTTTTTTTTTAATTTGTAACTCTATAGATGGTAAGTAGGGGTGGGAGAAAAAATCAATTCACATGGCGATTTTTTTGTTTTATAATTTTTAAATTGACTTTTATGTTCAATTTTTTTTTTTTTTTTTTTTTTTTTACATTAAAGAAGAAATCTTAAAAACTGCCTTACATACACTCACCGGCCACTTTATTAGGTACACCTGTCCAACTGCTCGTTAACACTTAATTTCTAATCAGCCAATCACATGGCGGCAACTTAGTGCATTTAGGCATGTAGACATGGTCAAGACAATCTCCTGCAGTTCAAACCGAGCATCAGTATGGGGAAGAAAGGTGATTTGAGTGACTTTGAACGTGGCATGGTTGTTGGTGCCAGAAGGGCTGGTCTGAGTATTTCAGAAACTGCTGATCTACTGGGATTTTCACGCACAACCATCTCTAGGGTTTACAGAGAATGGTCCGAAAAAAGAAAAAATATCCAGTGAGCGGCAGTTCTGTGGGCGGAAATGCCTTGTTGATGCCAGAGGTCAGAGGAGAATGGCCAGACTGGTTCGAGCTGATAGAAAGGCAACAGTGACTCAAATAACCACCCGTTACAACCAAGGTAGGCAGAAGAGCATCTCTGAACGCACAGTACGTCAAACTTTGAGGCAGATGGGCTACAGCAGCAGAAGACCACACCGGGTGCCACTCCTTTCAGCTAAGAACAGGAAACTGAGGCTACAATTTGCACAAACTCATCGAAATTGGACAATAGAAGATTGGAAAAACGTTGCCTGGTCTGATGAGTCTCGATTTCTGCTGCGACATTCGGATGGTAGGGTCAGAATTTGGTGTCAACAACATGAAAGCATGGATCCATCCTGCCTTGTATCAACGGTTCAGGCTGGTGGTGGTGGTGTCATGGTGTGGGGAATATTTTCTTGGCACTCTTTGGGCCCCTTGGTACCAATTGAGCATCGTTGCAACGCCACAGCCTACCTGAGTATTGGTGCTGACCATGTCCATCCCTTTATGACCACAATGTACCCAACTTCTGATGGCTACTTTCAGCAGGATAATGCGCCATGTCATAAAGATGGAATCATCTCAGACTGGTTTCTTGAACATGACAATGAGTTCACTGTACTCAAATGGCCTCCACAGTCACCAGATCTCAATCCAATAGAGCATCTTTGGGATGTGGTGGAATGGGAGATTCGCATCATGGATGTGCAGCCGACAAATCTGCGGCAACTGTGTGATGCCATCATGTCAATATGGACCAAGCTCTCTGAGGAATGCTTCCAGCACCTTGTTGAATCTATGCCACGAAGAATTGAGGCAGTTCTGAAGGCAAAAGGGGGTCCAACCCGTTACTAGCATAGTGTACCTAATAAAGTGGCCGGTGAGTGTATGTTGAAGAAATATGGTTTCTGGAAAAGTCAGTAGACAATCATAATCGTTCAACTGTTTCACTGGTGTTAAAAATCGTAGAATCGCAATTTAAATCAAAATGGCATCCAAAAAAATCGTACAGGAATCAAATCGGGTGAAAAGCATATCATCCCAGCCCTAATGGTAAGTCATCTTTGTCTTGACTACATTTCACTAGCATGTTTCAGTATTCATCACACATTTACGCAGCGATACATGGAAATTTTAAAACTTAGGTCATAAAAATATTTGCACTAAGAATTATGAAGGTGAGCAAGGCAGCACAGTCGACACTGAAAGACTTGAAGGATTGCGCAACCTGGAATTGAAATCACTACATCTGAGTGTCAGCCCTGAACTTACACATTTAGATATTTCACAAAAAATTTAAAAAAAAAATTAAGCCTGTAATTATATATATATATTTTTTTTCTGTATTTTGTAACAAATGCATATACAGCAGATTTATCTCAGCATAAAGATAATGTGTGTTTTGTTGATGCTCAAACATCTAATGAGTAAAGAACTGGTAAATTCAAAGTTTAAACTCTTCTGTTTAAGGATTTCCTAAGTGGGGCACCACTGGCAGAGCTCGTGCCTCATGTACAGAGGTTATGCCTCACGCTGGAAGCCCAGGTTCGATTTCAGCCTGAGGCCTCTTTCCCGTATGTCACTGCCTTCTCTATCCCCATTTCCTGCTCTATTCCTCGAGTCCTGTCCTCTCTAAAGAAAGGCAACGAGTCCTAAAATAAATCTTTGAAAAACAAATATTCAAAGTGAACTCCTTTAATCAGGTGATGAAAAGACCGTTTTATTTTTGCACACTTTAAATGTCCAAGACCACCAACTATGCAGCTTAAAGTGTCTCAACACTCACCATTGTTAGCCGCCACTTCTGTGGGTGCTGTGATTACATTTAATTGGCCTGCCCTCAGAAACCTTTACGCTCACACACTTCACACCAGCACCTCTCGTGGCTTTCTCAAGGTAAGTCTAGAAGGTGCCTCGTAGCTCGCTGACCTCAAAACAGTTTTCACTTCCTGTACGGGTTGAAGTCGTCTTGACCGGAGTAAATCAACCTCCCCCACGCTTCAATTACACATCCCGCTTCTGTTACCAGCTCCCCCCCCCACAACAATTTTAAAGCTAATTGCAGCCGACATAAACATGCAGTTAGCGTATTGATATGTGGTTAAGGGAGTTAAATTATGCACTAGCATCTCTTTAAGCTGCACTTGAACCTGAGAAGGGGAGGTGAAACAAGGAAGGGGGAAATACCTTCAGTGCATGCAAGAGCCAAGAACATTAGCCCACATCTGCTTCAGCGTGATTATTATGTTATCTGTGATCCGTAAGAATCAGGTCAACACTGCGGCTGAAATATAGCAGGACTTGTTCTATGAATATGTAGATTTGCATGTGATATTTGCATAGCTGAATAGCAGAGAAGTTAATGCAAACAACATCTGCTCAGAGTCGTGCACGACGTACCTAGAGTTTTTTTTATTATTTGAAATGTCCACTTTAACCTTTGGAAATTGGTTGTAACGTTCAGTATTTACAGATACTGATTACATTTTGGATCCAGAATAAATGAGAATTGCAAGTGGAGTCCACGCTGAATAATGCATTTATTGTCCGGAGTCCGATACCCATTACTATGACAATGTTGACACAAAACACAGAAGCTACATTGGTGGGATTATTATACGCAATGAATGGAAACCTTTTCTAATGTGCCCAGTTTTTATTCCGGCCCTGAAATAATAGTCTAACTCAGCTCTGGCAACACAAACTTTACATGCCCCATCAGCCGCGGCGACGATTAAGTTATGAAAACAGTTTGGAGTGGGTCAGTGATTCTGCCTTGCTCTGCGGCAAGTGTTCATCTCAGAGATGTGCTGAAATGTACGCTGTATGTATTCTCAGGGGTACAAGGCCAAATCAACAAGAAAAACCATCAGCGTTGAGGGATATAAAAGCAAGCATTTGTCTTTATTAAAGTGCCCGGTTTACGTAAGAGGACCCCCAAGTCCTCCTTGGATTATAAATGGGCTCTGAAAATAAACAGGTGTTGAAGAAAGCGAAAGAGAAAATCTGAAATCAATCACTAGAAATTTTATATTTTTCTCTCTCAGAAATGAAGTGAGCTATAAAATCATCGCACACTAAAATCCATACTTGCACCATTTACTCTTATTTTTATATCATAAGGGGTCTATATTTTTAAACTCTCAAATATTAACACCAGATGATTTACGATAAAAAAAAAAATACACTGTGAAGATGTAATACGCTTGATTATAAACATAAAAACACGTCAGAGGTTTTCTTTATGATAATGACATAATGGTGTGTCTGCCGTATAATGTGGGACCACAATAAGGTTGCAATTAAACACAAATGATGATGATGATGATGATGCACGTACACGAACAACTTTGCATGTGCACACTTTCTCTGAATGTTTGATGCTTTGATAAAGAGAGGGGAAAAATATCCTGAAGTCCGCTGTCATTAAATCGGTGTCAGTTTATTTGTGTAAGACACTGGAGCTCAGGAGGAGAGCTGGAGAGTAAGGGTGGTCCGCAGTCCATTTATTCACGGCTCGCTGGCAGCTGATCAGTGGAATTTAGTTTTTTGCTGAAATTTGGAAAAGGGGAGGGTGAATTTTTTAAAGAATATGAGCTCTGAACTTTTATTCTTTAAGGAAAAGATTAAGTTTCAGGGTTTTTGTGTGCCAAGAGTCAATTGATGACCGGGAGAAAACGGCAGAATTTAAGTATAAGAACTGGAGAAGAAACTAATAACCATGAAACTAGTTTCTGCATGTGTAGACAGGCAGGGAGACGTATTAATGGAGCAGTAATGTGGAGGGTACATTGGCCCGAGCCTCCAGGGCTTACCACGGGGGGGACTTTGGAGCAGCTGTTTTTTAGCTGCTCTAAATGGAGACGTTGTCCTGTGTGGTGCTCCATTTTGGATTCTCAGCCCCCACCCTTCACCGATACTTCCCCAAACCAGCTTCACTTTCCCTCCCCATGCGCAGCACAGAGAAGGGGGTCAGGGGTAGCGGCGAAGGTGGGGCAGCCATCTAAACTGAAGCCATCATCAGCCACTCTCCCTCACCCCCACATACCGACCCCCTACTCCCTTTTCCTGCCTGATGTGGCCCTTGACAGGATCTCATCTCACACGACCAGCCTGGGCTCCCTCCAGAGTGTCAAAGCAGGTCTTAATTTTAAAAGCCCCTGGGTTCAATGCAAACTATTCAGCTATGCTTACCACTCAATTATCTTCCTGTCCCTTTTTTTTTCCACCGCCAAAGCCCCCTCTGAAAGAACCGCGGAGCACTCTGTGGTGGGTCTGACTCGGTATCAGTTCCCTGGTGCCCCTGTCCTTTAAGACTACATCCAAACACACGGTGACAAAAGCAAGGATTTAAGGTCATTTCATACGCACAAGAGTGTATGTGGCGCTCCAGAAATGGCCCTGCTTCCTTGGATGCTGGAGTGATGTCAGCCCCCTTTGATTCTCTGTTTCTCACAGTATTTGACAGCCCCTCTGGTAGCCATTAGTTTGGTTAAGGATTGCCCCCTTTTCTCCTCCAGTGGTCAGTCAGAAACAAATAATGTGCTCTGCCCTCCAGTGTTTGCCGAAAAAGCCCTGCGAGACCTTGCGGCTTGGAAACGTTTACGAAACACTCAGAACCACAGGAAACATCCAGAGGAAAACGTTCCCTCTCTCCCTTAACCCTCCCTCCCCCCTTCCCCCGCCGCAGCTCCTCACCGGCAATGGATTTGGGACCAGAGAGCTTGAGAAAGGTCAAAGGTGGGTAAGAGAAAAGCACAGATGACTCTCAGATGGATTAGCACTAAGTGATTCAGACTCTCCCACACAATCACAACACCTAAGAGGTCATTTTCACGAGGCATCCGAGATCAGTCTGTTTTGGTGATTTCAACCACCAGCTGGGCAGATGGTACACAGAATTGTAAATTTATCTTGTTCTTTACCAACGAACTGTGAAGGGAGAGAAAACTTCTGCAAGCAATTTCCCTCTGACAGCTCAGAGGAATGTTTTGCATTGCTTGTTTGGCTGAATCTGTTTTTTTTTCTTCTTGTTTTATTTAGGAAAGCACTCTATAAATAAAGTTTGCATTATTACTACAGGAAGGAGCAGAATTAATGTCAGGCGGCTGATTGTTCAAAACCGCCCCAGAAAACATCCTCATCAGTAAGTAAGTGGAGCGTAACTCTTTGACAAATTATGAGTCCTCGAGCAGAGGTGGGCGAGCCGTCATCAGTCTTGAGAACATGTGAAAACAGAGTCAGGTGGGTTAACATACTTAAACTTAAATTAACTGTGATCCATCATCGAGAGAATATCTCACCCGTCCAGGAAAACAGGCGCGATAAGAGAGAGGCTGCTTATCAAAAACCAAACACTGTACTCGTTGGTGTCTAACAAAAACGTCCAAGCAAAGGCTAAAAGTCCAGATGAGGAGTTGGATTTCTTTCAGGGTTGGAGAAAACTCCCTCACAGTGGCCTGCTGTAATGGATGACTTCACTTCCACTATCTGTTAGCCAGAGAAATTATTACCACGGATACTTGGTGGTGTAAGGAGATTGGATGGGTGAGCCTTAATAAACTTTTTCAAGCAGGAGCAGAGCCTTGTGAAAATGACTTTTTTTTTTTGTTCTTATCTTCATTTAAGTACATCATTTTCTGCTGTGACACACACTGTGTTCACACCACTGAGGTCTATATCATCTCAGAACTGTAAGATGATGCCTGACTTTCTCTGCCTGAGTGTATAGCTATAAGACAGACCTATATTAGGGTGCATTCACACCATAGACTGTATATACTATGGACAACTTGGTTCCGCCCTCTGCCGGTATATGGAATTGAAGCCAAAAAGCTCTCGGTAATTTCGCATTTTCTCTCCATTTCCTGAAACCAACATTGCGCAGTAGTATTGTGTGCATTCGGTGGGAGAGAGTCACTGTGAAGACATTGATAAATACTTCAAGGTCATAAACACAATCGCCAACGCAGCAAACACTTCATATTCAATCGTCACAACTGAAGCATTTTTGGGCCTGTAGGGGGCGCTTACTTAAATTAGACACACACCAGTTTGAGGCATTAAAAATTGCAGGATACAAATCATCAATCTTGACAGAAACGGTCTTATTTACTTTTATATATCATAAAAAGGCATTAATATGAATTGTAGTATGTTGCAGGAGTGTCAAAAACTCCTCACAGGAATTTTAAGAAGTACTTGATATAGTTGAGTGTCCTCATTCAGAAAAATAAAAGGTATTTGTGGCATGCCTAATTTTTTTTATTTTAGAGAAATTAATAGTGTTTTTCCAGAGATAATTACAAATAGAAACTACCATCCATTATCCTGATAGGATGTGTTGCAAAAATATTTAATTTTCTCATGTCATTAATGTATATCTAAATTTGTTTCCTGGACTGGTTTATTGTTCTTTTTTTTTTTTAAAGTAAGAACTTTTTCTGACCAGAAACCAGCAGCTCCAAAGATTAAAAACATACCAGTGAAGAGCAGCAGATTTACACGTCAAAGAGTCTTGTTCTAGAAGCTGTTTTTTTTTTTGTTTTTGTTTTTTTGTATGTTGCCAATATTTTAAAAAGAATATTTTATCATACAAAATCGTTGTTATTAATTTTCTGTGGACTGGATTACTAATGAATGAACCCTTTGCTAACTCCTTGGCATTGAATGTTAACATTTAGTGCATTGTTTATGAATTGTTTAGCCTAGAAGTAGAACATCCTTTGAGCTGTGTGTGTATCACGTACTGTTTTTCATTTAGTATTCACTTTGTTTTGCCAGGCTCTCCCTTGGCTTTAAAGTTGCCTGCATGTGTCTCATTCCTCCTCGCTGCCTGAGGAAGAGTACCGACTAGAGACACATTGCAGCGTGTGCATTAAGACTGAGGAGCTGCACATCTTTCTAATGTTATTTTTGCATTGTTAAGCATGAAATAATGTCTTTGTGCATTAGGGCTCTCGTTCTCTCTCTCTCGTTCAAACATCTTAAAAAAAAACATCAGATGTGTCTCGGATGAGAAGTTTGATCAGAACTAGGACACTTTAAGCTGAAGTGTGAATTTTGCTTCAGCCACAGTCCTCCAGCTCCCCCTCTCTCCTGTCAGGCACTTCTCTCTCTCTCTCTCTTTCTCTGTTTTTGACTCCCAGACCGCCCTCTTACATTCCCTCTTCTCTTTCTCGCCCCCCATACTTTTCTCCCTCTTCTCCCAAATCGACCCCCTCCTTTTCGCACTCTGCCCGCTCCTCAAATGAGACACACTCATACATCACTATCTCTCTAAAACCAATCTCCCACTATCTCTTTATCAGACCCTCTTTCCCTTCCCTCATTGTCCTCCATCCTGTGTTTTTCTCCCAGTCTATCCTCTCTTTACCTCTTTCGGAGCTCTCACATGTGGACTTGATCAGTGAGGCTAACGCAGCACATACAGCTAAAGGCTTGAGGCTGGGGTGTGGTGTGGGGGCATGTTTGATATAAATCCCCTGCGCCAACTCATTTTTTCAGCATGATTTGGTAAACAAGGCCAACTCTGCTACCATCTGTCTTCCTCTTAAAAGACTTTTTATTTTGCTTCCTTATCAAGAATGTGATATCGTAAATCAAACGGAACATTTTGATCACTATTGGCGTCAATCCAAACAGCCTGCGGTTTGGTTTTGTCACTGTGTGGTTTTGTTTTTTTCTTGATTGTGAAATAAATGTGTGCCAAGAAAGTGTGAGAGTCAGACTATTAAAATATTTAACACGTGTTGTTTCGGGATTTTGGCACATGGATATATGACATTTTTAGTTAGGTTTAATAGAATGCGGTAAGGTTAAGTCAGGTAAGAAATGAACTTGAGTTGTGCAACTGGTGGTCCTAAGTCTCTGGAGCGCAAGTGTTCATGAAATGCTTACTTTTTTCACAGCACTGAGGAAAAAGGCTCAGAGTCGAAATGTAGTAAGAGCAAGCACAAAAGTTTTACCAGTAAAATGAAATTCAAGTAATAGCATAAATAAAAAATAAAAATCTCCTTCAAGTGGGATTTAGTTAAACTATGATATGATGTATCCCAAGAGGCAGACAGCACAAACAACAACCAAGGAGTTTAAAGACCCACTCTGATGAGAATCATGTTTTTCTTGTTTTTTATATGTTTATGTGGCATTTTTCTGATGCTACAAGTCAAATCATGAGAAAGCTAAATGCAAAATTGCGTCTCTAAGTATTTCTTCTTTCAAATCACTGTGAAAGTCTGGCAGATATTGATGGAGGGTTCAGAAACTGTGAGATTTCATATATAACCAATCCAAGCTCCGCCCCGGAGCCCCGCTTTGCAGCTACACTCTGCATATAGAGCAGAAATACAGAGGACAATTGCGGGACAAGCGTGTGTGTTAGCGGATTGCAATTCTCGTAAGAAAGCGAATTATGACATTAGCTTTCATCATGTCCCTAAAGACATTAGTGTCCGAAAGCTGAACAGCTCCTATGTCACTTGCTTCTTCTACTACACCGGCAATGTTAGGCTGCAAGCTAGTGTGAAGAGGAGTGTGCAGAGCAGCGCTGTCTCCGCCGAAGAGTCAGAGGTGAATTGCTAACAATCTACTGGAGCTCTGCAGAAGAAAAGCCCTTGAAAATAAAAGATGGTAACGTGATTTTTGGTAAAAACGTCATAATCACGGCTTTCATAAAAACGACCGGAGTGGGACTTTAAGAAGAAATCATGGCGAACAGACAACCAGCGCAGTCCATACTGACGTCCAACTTACTGTAAATTCCACTCTCTTCGTGAGACCGACAACTTTCCAGCTATGAACTGTGAAAGTTCAGGGGGCTTCTCTGTCCTGAAGACCAGATCAGTGTATTTAGAAACAGTCTGGATGCTGGGGATTATTTATGTTGTATTATAAATTTTAATGTAATTATGTCATTTCTATTGTTAGCTTACTACATGCATAAAGGCTGCCATCTTTGCTTTAGCCTACTTGCTTTCACACAGAGAAAGCAACTGATGAGGAGTTGTAAAGGACTTGGATCATAAAGCAAACTCAGTAATGACACTAGTACCAATAAAATCTTCACTCCAATCCCAACTACGACACATGCTTATATGCTAATGTCTCGTAAGTGCAGCTGAATATGCTGGATGGATGTTCCTCAGTGATGTTATCATATTTGTCATGATTGTTAAGATACACCAAGAAATTAAAATCAAGCTCCCTCCTCCCAGCATCTGTAAAAACAGACGAGAGGAAAAAACAATTAAAATATTCAGGATATTTTGAGGTGATACACTGAGAAAGACAATGGAGAACACACAGAGGCAGAGCAGACTGGTCTGTGTGTGTGTGTGTGTGTGTGAAGATTTCTCGGCAGGGAGCGTGCTGTTTTCAGGCTTGAATTCATCAACACAGATTTGCGCTTTAAACTCGTTCCGGCCTTTCACAGTTTGTATTTAACATAATCTGGAATTATCTGAAATTAACTGAAATGAATGTTCCAGCATCTGACAGGCAGACCACACTCTGTGTGCGGTTCAGGGCTGTCACTTTTTTATCCAAAATGTGGGTCTTTGTTTAAACTGAGGGGGAAGTTCATATTTGAGCTGTAATGAGTGGGTCAAATTCAAATATACAGTTTATTATTGCATCCGGCCATCAGGAGTAGTTTGAGCCAGCAGAGGGTGCTTTGAACGTGACCTGACTATTGTTTACACCCTTGACCTCAGGAGATAATTACTGCACTGTGTTCCTACAAAAGAGGATAACGTGTAAGTCAGGCCGCCCTGAGTGAGAAATCACAACTCCAAAACATCTGAGAAGCACCTTGTGGAAATGCTTTTGGTTCTACATTATTGATGGCATAATAAAAACACAAGAACAGGGCTAAATGTCTGTCTGACGGGGCTCAACTGTGGAGCAGCACAGGAGACACCACAGGCCAAGCCGTGCAACGTCAGCAGGAAATATTGGAGAAGAGCAGCACTAAACTATTTGACCCTCAAACAAATAAATTTGTGTTTCTGTAAATATTTAGAAAATGAATCCTCTGACCACTCAGATTGCCAAAAGCCTGTTGGTTTAATGCAAATATTGCTAGTTTGTTGTCTAGGACTTTTTCTATTCAAGAATGTGTTTTTTAGGACTGTTGTTTTAGTAATGTTGTTTGATATTTGCTTACACTTTTGAGAGCCCTAGTGTGTGGTGAATTACCGTCTCTGTAAGAGTAACTTGGATTTAATGCTCCTGTAGTTCTATAAACTTTCAGATTGGTATGCATCGGTACAGTACTAAAAGTTCTGCACAGAAACTGTTAAGTACAAATCAGTCCTATTACTCCCTAGACATAAAAAGTCTTGAAAGCGTTCTTTTCTTCCAATTGCAGACAAACAATTTTAAGGAAATGCATCCTGTTAAAAAAAAAGGCGCCTTCAAAGCCACACACACAAAAAAAAGTCACCGTATTCTGGAGCATTTTCAGAAACCACCATTCCAGTCCAAAGATTTGTGATGATAGGAGCTGAAATCCGTAACCACAAGCGATGTGCTGGCCTGTGTCCTCCTGAAACCTGCTAGTTAACACTAAGGGACCAGACGGGACGAGGTCTGCTTTCTGTCTGTGTCATGGAAGGAGTCCACAGCAGAGAGCTGCAGGTCGTGGCTTACACACTCAAACAGAATACCTCTGCTGGATACACACAAAACCTGTACCCATTCTGCAGGGCTGTGGAGAGTTGTTGAGAGGCTTTATTGAACTTTAAAACATGACGGTAGCAAATAGAGAAGGGAAATGTGTATCTCTATCTAGTGATTTTTTAATTGTATAGGAAAAGGGCCAACTTTGGTGATTTGGTACCACAGGGCAACATACAAAGCTTACTTATTAGGGCTGGGACAATATGCTTTTCTCCCGATTCCATTTAAATTGCGGTTCTACGATATTGTAGATTTTCTCGATTTTTAGTCTATATTTATAACAGCAGTGAAACAGTTGAATGATTATGATTGTCTACTGACTATTCCAGGAACCATGACTCATGATTATTTTGATTTTTGAACATAAAAAATTATTTAAAAATTATAAAACAAAAAATTGCGACATTTATGTGAATTGATTTTTTTTCTCCCACCCCTATTGCTTATCATATCAAAGGTTTGTTTAGGTGACACGTGCAACAACAAACACATTTGAATAAAATGAAGTTATCACGATGGCATGCAAATGTCTTTCTCCTTGTTTACTAAAAATATGATTGTTTGTTGAGCACAAAGTGTTTATATTTAAAGTAAATTTTAAATTGCAGTAAAAGAACTTCATAATCGTTTTTTATGGCCAAGTATATACAAGGAATTAACCTCAGTAAACATTGCTACTTTTACTTTCCATTTTCTATGAAAGTTATAATTTTTAAATCTTCGAATATACGCACGTATAAGAGATAGAAAGAAAGAGAACGAAAAGAAGACAGAAAGAATTTTAACTTAATATTTGCCAATCTACCTACTGTGTCCAGGGATTTCCAGTAATGAATGCAAAGTTGAGAAAAGCTCCTTTATTTTACTCATTTCCTGTGTATTTTTATCGAAAGACAAAGCTCATCTCACATGCATCCAGAGGAGTGAATTTGCAGTTTTTAATGATGAGGCTACAAAAGTGGTGCTGGCAATTTAACTAGAAACCAGTTAGGCCAAAATGAATAATTATATGAGTATTATTTCCTCTGCTAACAGAAAGTAGGTGTCCCTGTGGTATATCTGAAGGAGGGCAGGATGCAGCCTGGTGTGTTTTAGCAGGATGGTGCTGATTGACATTCAAGTTTAAAGTTTTAAAATGTCCACTGTTTAAAAATGAGTCTGGACCTATTTATTTAAAAATCCACTCCTCCTAAAGTAATTAAGACGTACTTGCAGCTATCTTGACAGGCAGACAGATTCAGAGGTATCTCCCTCAGACAGATCCTCGGGTTACACATCTTCACAGGTTGAAAACATCAGAGCTCAATAAAAGAGGAGAAATAAAAGACGGAGGAATGAAAGTTCAGAGTTGATCAGAGGTGAAGCATTTGCTGCTGCAGATAAGTGAGGAGCAGCAAATTGAGTGTGCATCACAAGGATGGCAAGTTTTTCTAATTCCCTCATTTCACTTCAACCGCTTCCTTCCTCTGCTTTTGTTCTTCAGAGGAATATTTCTGAGAGGGAAGAGAAACTAATCGCTTGGTTTGGGTCATGGGCTGAATTGTTTGCAGGAAGTTTTTCCCATACCACAAAATACTGCAAGATGTTTTGCGTTGTCATCACCTAAGGATGGCACTCTCAAGCCTCAACGACTGAGCGTCTCTGCCATGTGATATTAATTAGCACTCGTACTTTGGCTAATCTCACTTCAACATAAATGGAATGAGTTTAGCCAAAGATACTCCCCTATTTGACCAAATTTCCCAGAAGTCATGCCAGGAAAGAATGGCTCATGTCTGGGTGAAGCCACTCCTGCACTGTCAACCGTGTTTGTAACGCCTCCCCCCAGCTGACAGCCCTCGCACATGTGTAAGATATTTCTGCAAACTTAGCAAATAAAGACATTTTTGCTTTTCCTCTGAGAACGGAGGCAAGATTAAACCTTTGGGTGATCTCAGCAGGATGTGGTTAGCTGTTAGCTGGCTCAGGTATAAGTCATTTATCCCCATTATAAGCACTGATGGTAAAACAGTGCTTTATTCTTCCTCCACCTGTCACACATGCCAGATGTAGATCTGGAGCACGCTGCAGCTTTAACTCTGACAGCAAAGGCGGAGGCATATAGCCCCAAGACTTGAAAACAGCAGCTAATTGGTTGAGCTAGCTAACATGTTTTTGGTTGCTATCTTTTGTTTCAGAAGAGGAAGAATTGATTTACTGAGTGAAAAAAAACATGACTATGACAGCTTGTGTGTGTTTCAGTGCTGTCAGGATGAATTTTCAGGATGGCGGCTAGAGTCACTGGAGCTTTTTCTCGTGCAGGAGCCTTTTGTCGCACCTTTTTAGACTGGAAACATACTTGTACAGTTCTTAAAGACCCACTCCAATGAAAATCATGTTATTCTTGTTGTCTTTATGTTCAAATGGAATTTTTGTGATGCTACAGGACATATCATGACAAAAATAAGTGTGAAATTAAGTATTCCTGCATTCTAGTTGCTGTGAATCTCTGGCAGACCCAAACAGCAGGTTCAGAAACAGGAGATTTCCGACATCACAAATCCAAGCTCCGCCCCCTGAGCCCCTCTATGCAAGCCACACTCGGAGAAATAGGAGGATGATCGTGGAACAAGTGAGTGTGTTAGCGGATAGCAATGCTCATAAGAAAGCTAATTGTGATATTAGTTTTCATCATGTCCCTAAAGACATTAGTGTCCAAGAGCTGAATAGCTCCTATGTTACCTGTTTCTTCTACAACAACAGCAATGTTAGAGTGCAAGCTAACTCGGAGAGAAGTGTGCAGAGCAGCGCTGTCTCCGCCCACCACTCAGAGGCAAATTGCTCATGAGCTACTGGAGCTCTGCAGAACAAAAAAAATGACACAAGTAACGCGATTCGAGCTAAAAACTTCATAATCACAATTTAAAGACCACTGAGAACACTTGAAGATGTAAAAAAAAAAAAAGAAAAATTGGAATGGGACTCGGAATTGGAATTGCACTATAATGCAAAATGGTGACTCCATTATACATGAATGCACAAACACACATGAGTTATGTATGACAGGAAACGTTCAATGACAGAGTCTGTATGCCACAGAAAAAGTGTTTTAGGGAAGGAGTAACTCTCAAAAATGTTCTCATAGACAGTCGCTGTTGTTATTGTTTGTTTCTCTCGCTGAAAATTAGCAAAGTGACAGTTTTAAGACCAGATGCTTAAGCTTCCCTCTTCGGTTTTAATTAATTTTGTGTTTATCTGGTTGTTTACACCAGCGTTGAGCCACTGCAGCAATGCTAAATCTTGCGGATGTATTCATGTAGGTGGCTGAGACGCTGTTCCAACTAAATCTGGCTCCAGAGCTCTCTCAACATGTGCCTCACACATTTTAACTTTTGAATCCAAAAGTTGTTGTGTCCTGCACCAATAGCAATTAGTTCATCTCCACAAGGGAAATAACAGAACTGGCAAGACTTAAAGGAGTGTTCATGCTATGTGAAGTTTTTTTTAAATGTATCACGTTCTCTTTACAAAAGAGGAGGAAATAATCACCCAAAGATGTGTGAGAAAACCAGCAAATCTTTCAGGCTGTCGGTTATTAGAGCACGGAGGAATAAGCAGTGAGATGCAAACAATTATCAGGAAAATAACAGCCCTGTTTTCTGATTTCCTTCCTTTCCTGTTTTGCTGAGACTGGACGTTATCAGGGTCATTCAGAGATAGCACGTCCAACTGTTGAGCGGTGGACAGAGAGGAGCTGAATGGGATTGATTACACCATAACAACAGATATCACAAACCACTAATCTGATGGTCTGTCCACAGTCGTACATCTTCATCTATCATCCGCCCTCCTGTCCATCAACGCCATAGCTCTGGGGCAGCCCAGGAGCCAGACGGGGTGAGCTCCTTTCTGCATGTGCATGACTCAGCTCCTGCCCATCCATCATTCAGCCTGTCTGTGTCTCTCCTCTGCCCTACAAACGTGACTTACTGCTGCCTGAGAAAACCCCGCAGGTCAGTTGATGAAGCCTTCAAAACAGAATTAAAGAATGAGAGACATGTTCTGGTATCAGAGCTGGATCGAATTCACCATCCTTATGAACATGTGTTTTCTTCTTTGTGGACATTTTGGGGCTTTTTGCTACTTGGCCGGCATATGCTTTACATCAGAATGTATGTGATTCAATACAAAAGACTGCGTTTTGACCCATTATCTGGTTTGCTAATTACCTCAATCTTGTCACTTAAATGTAATTATGGGACATCACGTTATGTTTTTCAATGGAAATACATTTGGTACAGAAGGCCAGGAGGGATCCTCTGGCTTGGCAAAGTCTTCGACAACAGAAAACAAAAAAAACATGCTTTGAAAAACGGATGGCAGAGTGTTTTATGTTCCTGATCACGAGGCGGACAAAGGTTTTGACATCTGTATTTAGCAGAAATCCATAAAGAAAAAGCCGCATACAGTAAGTATGCACCCTAAGTGCCGCTAAAAGGTGCATGATGGAAAGCTTGAGGTATCCCCAGAGTGGAAATGAAAACCAGAGTTTTGTGGGGGCTCAGAAACATAGACTTTATTTCCTTAGCAGATGGCGACTTCCTTTACCACCAGCGTTAACATATTCTTGAAAAGGGTTTCGGTGGTGGTCAGGAAGGAGGAGGCCTTCTTTAGCTGTTATCACATGCAGCAGTGAGACATCATCTGCTTTAGAGACACTGGTCCATCAAACTCTAAAGGCAATTACACTGAGAGCAGAAAGGTCAGAGAGGAGGGGAGGTAAGAATGAGCCTGCCGGATCAGCTTATCGCAGGGCCAGAAACCCAGGAACAGCTGAGGAAACTAGTGGCGCTTTCCTTAGAAGTCAAGAGAGTTCACAGCAGAGAGGGAGACCAAAGGTCAGGAATTGGAGTTTTATTTCACAGATCTCTTTATCAGAGATCTTTTAAATTTTTCAAGCTAAGCCAGAGAAGTCATGAGGGTATGAGAATGAATTCAAGTCAAAATGATGTACTTTGAGACTGCGCTGTACCTCCTAAATCAAAATTCAGAGGCTTTGTCAAGGACGTGTCTTTGAAGGTTTTCTTGTTTTGTGATAGTTTGTAGAGTTTTGCTAATATCAGCACAGGTATCAGCCTTTGATGTTCCTAGAATGTGGTACAGGGAACCAAATCGTATCTCTGTCAATACACCAACTTTTCATCAGACCCTAACATGGTACATTGCGTGACAACAGGGATGGGCATAAGTCGTGTTTTTGACATAGGGGCGACAGTGAGTCCCAGTCAACTCCCTCATGGGCTTTAAAAACAAAATAACAATGTTAAGCAGAAATTAACTATTGAAAACATAAAACTTTGATTTTAACTTAATTTTAAGTCTTGGAATTGGGTTAGTTAAACATTGGCAACATTGCTCTGTTATTTATGCACACATGCCAGGGGCAGCTCCAGATCTATCTAACTGGGATACTGACTTTTGTAGTATAGCATGCGAAATGACAAAATGAACATTTCTCATCATTTTTTGCATCTATCATTCATTTTCATTGTAAATAGAGCTGATATTCAAGTATTGTCTTAATGCTAAACTACCATGTGTAATTTGAACTTCAAAAAGTGATCTGCTCAAAGTCAAAATTGAAAGAACTAATGCAAAGAAAACTGCTTTTTCAATCACAGCCAAGTCCAGAATAGTTTCACCCACAACAAGGTTAATAGTCAATCATGTTTGAGGGTTTTAGGGGCATCCAGTTAGAGCAAGCTACATTCAATACCATAATTTTTATACATCTGAAAAGCAAATGTGAACCAACCAGAAAAGGTTGTTTTGACAAAACCACAAACTCGGCCTTCAAAGGAAGGATAAATATCCTGGAGACAGCAAAGAGACAAAGAGATTTCATAGAAGGTGGTTGAGAAGTTGTGCTCACGGCAGCACTGGGTTTGGTTAAAGTGTGCAGTATTACAAGCACACCAGTTTTATGAGTATCACACAGCAGAGCATGTAAAATAGATTACAAGTGAGTCTTAGAACAAAGCTGGGATAACACATTTTAGCTAGTTTGTTAATTTCAGGATGAGCAGAGACATGAAAAACACATTAAAAATGGATGGGGTCAAAGGCCAAAAAGATGATCGGGATGTCACACTCTTATCCAGACCCAGAATCACTATCATAGCTGCTGTAACTGATCTGCTTGCCACAGAGTCATCAGTGGAGTTTAGCCACTCAGGCACCAGATGTGAAGGAAATAAGACTTAAAAATACAAAAAAAAGACTATGTAAAAGTCTCATATTTGGAGTCCAAGTCTAGTCTCGGGTTCTTGAGGGGTGAGTCCAAGTGAAGCTTCATATCACATTTGTTTGTGATTTAAGTGTGTATAGAGTCCAAGTCTCAAACACACTAGGGGTGTTCCCGCAACAATATCGGACATCGGTCTGATATCTGCAAAAGTTCAAATATCGAATACAGGCAGTCCATTCCAGACTCTGCTCCGGCAACTCTATCAAGCAGCACCCAGAACCAGCATGTAGAGCCTGTATGATCACAACAACAGTGTGTACTAAGGTACCAAGGATGGGAGTGATGTCGGCCCTGTGGCAGTATTTTATGTTGAAGTCAAAAAAAGACGTTGCAGCTGCATGCAAAACTTGTCATGCAGAAGTTTGTGCTAATATTGGATCAATATCAGTATTGGCCAATATTAAAGGCTACACTATCGGTTTTGTATCAGAGGTATTCGGACACCCCTAAAACACATCCCCATTTCTGAGTGTCTACGACTGAAACGTACAGGCTGTTGCTCCAGGAGGGTGTGATGTTAGACAAAGCTAGCGGTATGTCAAAAATCTGCATCATTCGACCCACATTTTTTTAATCAGTTACTAGACCAGTGAGGTTGGGATCTGTTCCACAAGAGTTAGTATGTTTGATAACTATTTTAATTCATCCGTGCCCAAGAGGTACAACCCATACTTAGGTTTAGGTTTCAGGGTGGATATCTGGAGATTAAAAAAATATTAAACATGCCCACACTTGGATGGAAAGTCTAAAGAAGTCAGATAAACACAAAAGGGGAATACTTAATTTACTATCCTAATGCTGAAAGTGGGTTAGCTCACAGCCAGACAGGAATATTAAGTTTCAGCTTGCTGACAAACGTCTTCACGTAGTTCAATAATACATGAGTACCGGCTTATTGCAAGAGCAACCCCTCTAAAAAGACAGAACTATAAAGTAAATATTTAATGAATGTCAAAGCTCAACTCTGCTTTTGTAGCTATTCACATGCACACAGAGCTCATTCGCTGAATAACTCATATAAAAACTAACTCTGATGTCTGCGAGCTTAGAAATTTAACTCTGAGGTATTGCAAGCTTTGATCCATCTTTCTCCGAGTTTATCTTTGATGCCAAATGGTCTGCACTCCAGACGTTGGCCTTACAGCAAATCTGAGCTTTGTTCATTGCAGAGCTCTGCTGGACCAGGTAAGGTCTACAAGTGAGGTTCAGGAGCTTAAATAGAACAGTCAACATATTGTCCTGGCTTATAAACCAGCAACTGGTCACCTTACCAAGACTGACAGAGACCAAGCTGCCCGATGGGGTCCAGAGTTTCATTGGAGATCTGTATGGCTTGGTGCAAATACAACCAGTGGACCATTTCAGACCGTCCACACTACCCGAGCTACAAGATCCATTAAAAGTTTCCCAACAGCATGGTTCATATCTCCTCCGTTCACCTCTTATCCCACTTTTATGTCCATTTTTTACAGTGCTACATTCCTCTGCTCTTCTTACGTGGAAGATGATTTGAAACATGCTGTTCTCGTAAAAGTTCCCCGCATCAAACCAAACTGTATTTCTGTCCCTTTGAAGATATGATCCTCTCCATCTGTAACCAAGTAATTCTGAAAGTCTGTCTTGCTCTTGCACTTTGTCTGCAGTTGATTGTCCAGAAGAGAGCTCCAGACTGGAGAGTCTAAACAAGATTTGTGCACGTCTTGCCAGCTCGTAATGCATGACATGATCTCCATCTACTTAACGTGTGCATTTATCCTGCGAAAATGGCCAAAAATGCAACAGCCTGTGCTCATTTACAGCCATGTGTGCTAACGCTAACGGGAAGGAGAGTGTGCTTATTTTGACTCAAGCAAAACAATCTCCATCTCCATTCCATTCGCCCGCCAGATTAATTGGGGTAATTGACTGGGGTTTGCAGCACAA